AAAAAATACAAAATACCATCTAAACTTTTCTAAAGACAGTAAGTTCCCCTCAGACATACATTCATGTAACCCCTAAATGCTAATTGAATCGCGATTTGGTTAGCATCTCAGCCGATTTGAATCGGCACATATTTAAATCGATTTTCAACCGGCTCATGGTTAATCGTTACATCTCTAGGCAGTCCAATTTTTTCAGTCCAGAAAAATCATCAGCTCTGTCATAGACGATAGTATTGAGACTCGAACCCGCAACCTTTGGGTTACGAGTCCGACTCTAACTATTAGGTCACGGCTTCCCCCAGTTGGTGGTGTCTGTAACACAAATGGCACGGGATAAGTTACATGCATAATTTGTAGGGATGCTCCGATCGATCGGCCGGAGATCGGTATCGGCCAATAATCACATTTTATGACTCGATCGGTACTCACTACACTTGGCCGATCTCATGAACCGATTGCAATTTGATGACGTCAACACATGATGACGTACATGATGCGTGGGGACATAAATGATTTGGCGCCACAGTCATGTCATCACCGGTGTGGAAATGCTATGACGTTTTGAGAAACAATGAAAAATGCGCCATTTTTTCGTGTATGTTTTGCATGATGATATGATGAATGGATGGTTCATTTTTAACAGCAGATTCAGTGACATTAGAGAGCTGATCTGCGCCTCACTGCACACGTCTGCGACGCATTACGGCTCCACGGGAACCGGAGCTGATCGTGGGCTGCTTTTAAATGAACATTTATTTATAAAACAATATATCGTCTTTGGCCATATTATCCTACTCAATAGCATTAACACAGGCTTTACTCCTTTCAAACTTTATCTGGAATGTCACTGTTTCGGTCACTGCAACTTCCCGATCAGGCGAACAAACACACACACACACACACGAAATCGTCTGCCTCATGAAAAAAATAATTTATAAAAAAAAAAACATTTGTTAATATTTGCATCATTTATGATTTATTTTATCCACCCGCAACCCACCCGCAAATAATCAGAATGCATTTTTTATTACCCGACCCGCGGATTATCCTCAGCGCCCGTGGATATAGGAAAAGCAAAATATGTTTGCTGCGTAAATCAGATGGACTTACTGAAAATGCAAATTCATTCTCTGCCAGCAGGAGGTGCTTTAAAGAGGGAGAAACAGAGGTTTCCCTGGTAACGGCTGTACACAAAGCAGCGCTGAGCTCACAAACGCTGCTTTATCAGGCACATAACAAGCAAGATGAAATGAAAATGACATCGAACATTTTCTAAAGATAGTCTTCCTTCAGAAATACAGTGATATAAAAACAACTCGTTTTGATTTTTAAACGTGCAGTACGTGCTCATATTTATTCAACGAAGCCTTTTGGAAAATTGGTCAGTTTTGATATTGTGGTGAGCGCCACAAATAAATAAATGTATGGGAAACACATCCCACAGCACAACCACGTGAGCCCAACTTCAGTCTACTCATCACCTTAACTTAAACTGCGTTTGTAGCTGGCGCCATAGCCAGACTGATAAACAAACACAGACCGGAAGTTAACTTCGGGACAGGCGCATGCACCCGATGAAACCGTCTATATAAAGCTTGAAACATCAGAGTCGGCATCGGTATCGGCCGATCACCATGACAAGAAATCGGTACTCAGTATTGGCTGCAAAAATCCTGATCGGAGCATCCCTAATAATTTGTGCCTTAATACTGCCTCAATAACCCTAAGTATGAGTATCAGCAATAGAAAAAATGGAAGTCTAAATACAGCATTATTTATTCCTAGGTTCCTGTGAGAAAGTGTGAGAGAAGGACAAAGAGAGAACAAAGGAGAGAAATTCAGTTCGCATCAGCCTCAATGTCACAAAAATACCTACACATTAAAAGCCCATTTTAGAGTGTGCTGGAGATGCGATACTGATGTATGAAATGCTAGCAGGAACTTCCTGCTACAATAAGTGATGCATGGTCTTTTCCTGGAATGAGAAAGTCTCATCCCATGAATGAGCTCTACAAAAAAGGCAGTTAGGGGATGTTCACATAAAATGTGTTCTTGTGTCTGTTGCATCTGTGCTATTTGTGAAGTATCTAATCGTATCTAACCGTTGCAAAGCATCAGTTTCTTCAGTGCCATGAGTGCAGTGTTTCAAAGAAGATGTCAAGTTCAATTTTTAAAAACAAAGCATAGTGATAAACAGCAGTATTTAGCGGTTTACATAAAATATCAACATTTCACTACAAAAACG